GTTTTTTTTTCATGGTTTTTCCCTGCCACACTTGTCGGATCATTCCAATTTATGCACCACGACTGTATCTCAGGTGTGCCAGCCCAAGATTTTTATTTGCCCTAGAGCTCAAGCTAAAAACATTGTGAAGCTTCAGGTAGTACTTAGAAAACTTTATTCACTGCAGTATAGCGACAAAGCCCTCAAATCTCTACCTGTGCACATTTCATATTATATGTTAATTGGTACACTTTGTTTTTTTAAAGCTCTACATGTATGCGAGTGATGCTGAGTCAATGGCAGGAGCGCAAATTACTGATCTTATAAGTACGTTTCTGGTGCAAAAAACTACAAAGGCCAAAATTCAAAGCAAATACTGTTACATTTTCCCAGAAGAAATGTTTGCACGAAATGCTTCGCTTATAGTCAACACCTCTCTTCTGTGGCTTAATTTTAGGCTCACCCAAAACTAACAGATATACATAAGAAAGAGAATATCACGGGGCAACCAGTTAAGCTCCAGTCTAACATTATTTTCTTTTCTTTCTAAAGCTGTACACTTTAAAATACCAAAGCTATGAGCTTTGAATGCTGTAACACTTTCTTTATGTACTTTTATCATGTCCCCACAACAGTAAAATACAGATACAATTAGTCCATGGTGCACAGTGTGGTAGCGTAGTACACTGTTTGCTGTAATGCTGTCAAATTATGTATGACTAATGTAAACAAACTGTCACACTGAAGACATTTTTCCATCAACTCTCTGCACTGCTTGAATTCTTATATTTGATCCAAGACGTTGTAATCTGTTAAAAATCCCCATTTACAAATGTTTGTGCTCAAAGTTACATTTACAGTTAGAACGATCTTTCAGATACAGAGTTAGAAATAGCACCAATGATGCAGTACGTGAGAAATACTCAATGCTTTTGTCATTGTGACCAATCATATCTGGCCTTTAAATAGACAGGAAATAATGTGGAGCAAGAATTACATATTAAATCTGTTCTAGTGCACTCCAGAAATAAAATTATGATCTTGTAAATTAGCACAAAAGGGCCACTTTAAAGCACTTGAAACCTGCATCACTCGAGTTTGAAATTTTTTTTTGGCATTTATTTCCTTAAATCAAATATGTGTAATAAAAAAAATGAAGAAAATAGCAGCGATTACTCTGATACATTAAAAGCTGTGTATCAGATATTATACTGTAAGCAGAAATTTCCTGCCATGGTTAACCTGTCAGCTCTACAAACCAGTTCTAATGGACCCCCAGTCACACTGGCATGGAGAGCTGTCAATGAACCCCTTGACAACCGCCGGTCACTGGGTGGTGAGCAGTTACTAGCAGTGGCTAGGTGAAAACGGTCGTAATGAGGTGTAGCTGTTATACCGAAAACCTTGTAATTGCTTTGCAGGTTTCCACGGCCGTCCGTAGTTTCCATAGAAGACGCCGACTTATCTGCAAAAGCTTGGCATTTACTTGCTAAATGATACTGAAACTATGAGCACAGCTCAGACAGGAAATCAAGACTGTTTGCCTTCAAAGTAAAAGTCTGAAAGCAAGTTGGTTGCAGTGATGAGGCACTTTTACTTTGGAGACTAACAGCCTCTATTCCCAGTTTGAATCACACTTGTTTCCAAGTTTTACGACCGCTCTGCAAGTATTTCTACATCTACGGGCAGCTACAAACATCTGTTATTGACCGACGCAATCAACAGGGCCCCTTGGTGATTTATTTCACCTAGCTACCTCCGCCACTTCTCACCATCCAGTCGGGGACTTCACATCTTTCCATCCTGACTGGAAGTTGCTGCGTGACTGAAGCCTAACAAAAATAATGGCACAGCAGGTGATCTGTGAACATGTTTAAGAGTTAAACAAAATATGACGTCTTTACTCAAAAACACCTCGACAGTCTTGATTTTGGGGCTTAGCGTAAGCTCTGTCAGTGTTTTGGTACAAGCACTCTTAAATCATTCAATACTCACCATCATACTCTGGGAAGTAGTCAACCAGATGAGAGTACATAATCTTCTCCTCCAACAGGTCCTTCTTGTTGAGGAACAGAATGACTGAGGAGTTTTGGAACCAGGGGTATGTGATTATTGTCCTAAACAGAGCTTTACTCTCCTCCATCCGGTTCTACACAGAGTATATGTGAAGGGGAGGGGGCAGAAGGACAGAAATAAAGAAAGAAAACAGAGAGATAGTTAGTCTCTTAATTAAAAACCAGTCCTTCAACCTGATTAAGTGCAGATTTTAATAACCGTTTCACGGCACCAGAGGGAGAGCAGTAAAGATGAGAGAGTAGGGCAATCATGTTTTTAATTTCTCCCTCGCGCTTGATTTCAAGCAACCCTTCTCATAGCGAGTCTTACACCTCTCAGTGCTGCTGTTTATCAAAAGCACAAAGCAGAATGCCTTATTTTATATTATATAATAAAAACTATCAAATGCTATTGGATTATAAAGGTCGTGAAGCTGGTCAGTCTTCTACTTTCACAATATGCAGGCTTAAAAAAAAAAGGAGGAAAACAGATGGGCGCGAGAAAAAAAACAAAACAGCAACAGACAACACACATATGAACGCACACCTGCTCATTAATACACTTAAAAAACCCCTGACACATCGATTCCTCTTAAGAAAGAGACGTGGCCTTAGGCGGCATTCAAAACAGCTGGCTGATCATTTACAAGGAAAAAGAGCTGGAGCACCACCGAGCAGCCCGAGAACCTGATTTCCATTGTTTTAAATAGGGAAAGCTTTTATCTTTACAAACAACTAATCTCCTATGTCACATGAAATAAGGATTTTCAAATGGGAATTTATAAGAGCATCCTTTAAACCATTTAATCTCTCGGTAGTTTGGTGAAATTTCTCTTGGTCTTTCTAAAAAAATAAAATAAAAGGACAAATCACCTCGTTATCCGACTCCACCAAAACTTGGTCGTACTCGCTGAGGGCTACCAGGAACATGATTGACGTGACGTTTTCAAAGCAGTGGATCCACTTCCTCCTCTCTGACCTCTGACCTCCGACATCCACCATCCTGCCATGGCAGGAGAGAGAACAACGTCACTGTAAGCACAGGAAGTGTCTGTGTGGTTGTCCTTTTGATTTAATCCCCTTGATGTGGGTTGTTTAATAAAGGGAAAGCCTAAGACAAATCAAATGTGATGATGACATTGACCACTTCTGAATCAGATATTCAGTGGATTTCAATCAGATTATTAACATAAAATAATCAGGAAAACATCTGATAAACTTTAAAGGCGAACCTGCGAGTCCATTACGTATCGAGTATAGTTTAATACCTGCATTAACAAAGCACAATATTCTTTTTAAATATTTTATAAGCTTATCAAACTCCTTGCATATAAAATATTAATCCCCAGTCTTACTTGTAAGTGTAATCATCAGATGATGTGCACCTCTTTCTAAAGGCAGTAGAGTCCACAGGTTACTTGAGAGTCTTCAAACTCTCACAGAGTGAGTGCACTCATGTATTCTCGCTGCATTGACAGCCTATCTCGAAAACACTTTGTTTACTTTCATTTCCTTTTCCTGAGGTCAGCTGATAGAATATCTTAATAACTTGATGGAGCTAACAAAGTCATACAACACCATTTCAGTGAACTTTTGTTATACATAATGACACAGCACTGCATTTTCACTTTTTAAATAACAAGCCGATCTCACCTGAATATGACACTCTGCAGGTCAAATGGGTATTCAATAATGCCTGTGGTTGGAACTCGAACCCTCAACACATCCTGCTGGGTGGGAAGGTAGGCTGGCTCAGCGATCCGATCCAGTGCGTTCAGGTAACTGAGGAGGCAGACAGTAAAAACAATCCAGCACCTCACAGACACTAGAAATCTCTTTCCTGAGATCTTTTACAAATCTGTTGAACAGTTTGACGCCTGTTTCCTGAACGGCTGTCGGCTGTACTCACTATTTAGTAGAGTCCGAGAGCTGGTATTCCCGCCTTCGATCATAACACTCCTGGATGCCCGGGTCGTTCCATAAGCTCTTGATTGCATCGACGTAGGGATTCTCAAGCTTGTTGATCTTCTCTACATCTACCTCTCTCACTATGTTGGCGTGAGCCTGGTGGAAAACAGAAACTTAACTTATCAAAACTTTATCAAGCATTCAGTATCTCTCACACATACACACACACACACAGACACACAAATTAATCACTGCACAGGTTACACAGTCCTAATTATCACTGGTGTATTTTCTGCTCTCACTCGCTTATTCTATATGCAGAAATTTCTTAGCACCCCGGGGCTCAGCATGGACCTAATATCTGAAGCACAAATCCCACTGGGCCTATTAAGGGGAAAGTTTTGTCGGCCCAGATTCCCACTAAAACTCTGCTGTGTCCCATGGCAAGAGATCAACACGTGACTGAATGTTGAAGTGTTGAGCAACAGTGCAGCACAGCTACTCCTGGTGATTAGGACGGATACGTAATGTTTGCATTGTGTATGTCATGCATGGGTGCTTCCATGAGTGTGAATTGGGGAGGCATTGAATCTGAAAATTCAATCATAAGTGAAATACAGAAACAAAAAACTATTCAGATTTTAAGATGAACAGACCTTCTGCCTCCATCAACGTGAGTTAGGACTTGATGCACATTGGAGGTTGCCAGATCCCACCCAAGATGGTGATACAATGTGCTAATAAATGCTTGTAATAGAAGATATTAAATATGTTTAATTTTACTGTGTGGTAAATGTAAATATCAGTGCCTCACGTTTCCTTTTTTACTTTACTAACTGTAAACAGGGTAAAAATAACAGAACAAACCACTCTGAGGTACATGGGAGGGATCCATTTTTCTAAATTTAAATTGTATTGTTTTTCCATATGTAATATGGACAAAAACCTCCATAAAAGAAGTGGGGTTAGACGTCCTTTAAACAAGGGAGCTCAATTAAAGCTGTGGAATCTTAAGACAATGCAGTAGTGCCTTAAAACTGCATTTTTTCTCGATGGCCACCAGGGGGCGAGGCGTGTGATTGCAAATACTTTTCTGGTCTCATAAAGAACAGCTCTCGACTCGAACTCTGTAAGCACGTTTCCTGTTTACAGCCGCAATCATTTATTTCAGGTCATATTAAATCAAAATATTTGTCCATTTTGTAAATTTTGGTCATATTGTGTTTTGGAAATAAGGATTTTCTGGGATACACTCACTGGCTAACAACTCATGACTGACAATCAGTCAGTTTCAGACTCACTCCTTAAAATTCAGTTTCTAAACCAAATGGAGACTACAAAAGAAGGTCATCCAGAGGCTTCAAAATGGGACATATGTTCATCAATTATATTGTCTACGGTGGCTTTAGCCCCACCAGTGATGTAAAGAATAGAATAGAATAAAAGCTCCTTTGACTACGATGACCTGGATGACTGAGAACCTTCACAGACATAAAGAATAGATTTACTTTTAACTTTGCAGTTGTCATATTTATTTGGATAAAACCATTCAGCAAGTTCCTAAATCTAATATGGCTGGGTAAATCTTTTGTGATGACACAGATATGAGTCAGTGCAGTGCATTCTAACTGAAGTTAGACTGAATTCATGATTGTGAAAGAAAAAAAAGTGTGTGCATTAGCAGACACACAAGAATGCCTGTCAATAAACTGCACGTGATACTCGTGAAGATAATGGTAAACAGTACTTTGACACAACCAGAAAATAGTGTCCTTGCTTACAGAGATTGTGTGATTGACTGTAGAACTGGCAGATTGAAAACATAAATAAAGCCACAGAACAAGTCTTTTTACCAGCAGATTAACCACTCGTGCTGAACCTTTACAAATCAGTGACTGTCTACATGCAGACACAGCATGACCTTTTTCTTAACCTGCCACTACAAGCCTTGAAGTCCAGCACAAACACAGTTTCTGTTTTTAGTGTGGATCACCTAGTCTGAGACAGTTACAGTACATGACTGAAACGTGCATACATCGGACATGTGAAGACTGGGGCCTGAAGATTGAGGCCTATTTAAATGGGTGGGCCTGAAAGACTGTGAGTGTGACATTTACTATAAAAGCCCAGAAAGACACTAAACACAATGGATGGGTTTCATTTTCACTTCCCTTGTGATGTCAGTCAATTCTTTTGTCAAGAATAAAATACTTCCCATTTTACCCGTATGTATATGAGAGTAGAGGGATGTTGGGTACAAATTATGACAGGTTACACGGTTCCATTGTGCACATAGCTCTGATTTCATTAGACAGTCAGTTCTACCCTTTAGTACAAGCCCTAAAAGACTTTTACATCAACCTCAAATTGACTGTTACTATAAATTAGATGGCTGATGTGCAGTGTGCAAGACATGGCAGTAAACTGGAATGAGAACTGTACAATGAACCAAAAGCTTGGGAAGAAATTTTGAAGCAGAAACCCACCTGCATTTTGTTTCATAAAAATAGAGCATAAAAGCATTATATTTATTCAGCATATTCTGAATTATAGTGTTTAAAGTGGGCAAAATAATGGTGAAAATGCATAACTGATATACCACAATCAGTTTCATTCCTCATGAAAATGCACACACGAGACGGGAAGCGAAAACAGCCGTGCACCACATCTGCATAAACATGCACGGCTGCAATGTCATTTTAAATCTCGCAGGTTGCACTGATTGTCATATAATGCGCGCTTGGTCGACAGCAGTGGCTGGGCTCCTCGTTCATTACAGTCTGCATGTCTGGGGAAAAGATGTGTTGTTTTGCACTACGAATTTAATGTCTGTAGAATAGCGTTGTTATTCAAACTTTCTAAGATTTCCGTGCTATTTGAAAACCGCCAACATAATTGAACAACACGTAGTGGAACCCTCTTACCTGGGTGAACACATCTCACTTTAAAATACAAATAAATGATGCAACTGTGCAATCAGTCAAAAGTTCTAAGCTGTCCAGATCAGTATTAATTATGCAACGCTTAAAGCGGTTTCCAAAAAGAAACAACAAAAAACTTTGCACCCCTCTAATGGAATGAATGGGATCCAGTGGTCTACTTGCACATGTATTTTAGGGAAATGACAACGCCGATAAAATGGGACAGACCAAAAATGCTCTCACATTAAAGTGCACATTTGGTTTTGTGCATTATGAATAAAACACCTGATTTTAACACTGACATAACAAACACAACATCTCTAAAAAAGGCTTTCCTTAAACATCAGCCTGGACTGTAGTCTGACACAGAGAAACTGAAGACCACAGTAGCTGTGCCAAGGTGTGGACTCCTAAGCATCATTTCCTTTAATTTGTCACTTTCACATGGAAGAAACTTTGAGCAAAAACTCCCTGTACCAGTTCCCAAAGCTGTGAACACCAGGGTAACTCCTCTACAACAAAGAGGCTCTGCTGAAGTGTTAAGTACAGAGAGCAAGGTGAAATTTGAGCGAGTAGTGTGGGGTATGGTAGTAGTGTAGAAGCAGGAATGGTGTGCATATATGCATGTGTAGATTTCAAGGAAATACGCAAACACAAATACTCAAAAGGGCGTGATGAGTACTTTAGTGTTTTAAGGACACAGGAAGTCTATAAAAGGACAGGAAATGATTATGGATGGCTGTTACAAATAAGATAGACGGCCCTCTAAAAATACTCAAGCACACTGTAACACATCGTAGAGCCTCTCTCTCTCTCTCTCTCTCTAATTATTTGACACCATCAACTGCCATTTAAGTTGGAGAACGTGAAAAGCTGGAGTGAAAGAATCCATTTACCTTGTTGTGCTCATACTTGTAGGGGATCTTGAGCGTCTCCATGGCTCGGATCATGGCCTGCATGGACGTAAAGATGTTCTGATAGACCAGCTTGGTGAAGCCCCTTTTGTCCTCGTCAGAGTAACCGGTTCCGTGGATAATCCTCATCTGTTTGATAAATGTGCTCTTCCCACTTTCCCCAGTGCCTGAGAAAGTACACAGGAAAAGGGAACACAGAGTTTATTAATACAGTAGGTTTGTGCAAAGTGTCATTTAACCAGACGACGCGTATCGTCTCCTGTGTCGGCAGTCATGCTTCTTAAATGGACATTCAGACTATTTTCACTGTTAAAAATTAATCCACTACTGTTAACTAGAGAAAAGGCATTAAAACCTTGCAGGGGAGACTTCTTGCACAGCCAGTGATCTAAATACAGAACATAGGCGGCACTGATTGTACAACGTCCTTACCATGAGATTGTCATAGCTGTATGGATATAAAATAAATTTGATTGCACTGCATTTGCCCCATTTATAGGGGCAAATCTGAAATCCAAGTGCAGATCATAATTAGCTGCTGTAAACCAAAGCAAAAAAAGAAGGGACCCTGCAAGATCCTTACTTGGCTGTCAGAGCATTTCAAGAGAAGAAAAGAAAAAAAATCCATATAGACTTCTGCAGTGTAGCGTTTGTTTTCATTGAAAATGACAAAAACAAACTTGTGATGTTGGCATTAAATTCGTTTTTTTAAACTACACTCTTCCATTCACATTCCATAATTACCTGTACCCCACAGCAATCCACCCACAGTAAAAAAAAATTTTTTTTTTAAAAAAATGCCGAAGCGCCGCTGTCTAACAGCCTTTTTTATTCAAGCTGCATTATTATATTTCACATCACGGAGGAAGATTGAACAAGCAAACAGGCAGGATTACTTTATAAAGTTGTAACAGAGACAGCCTGACATGGAGCAACACAAACTGCTGGTTGAAGACGATATCCATACTCGTGTTGCATATCAAGGAGTCCTCAGTCCTCAAACTTCAGACAGTGCTGGAGGAATCAAGTCGGATACTGTCTGAAATTACCTCTTTCCCATTATAGCAGACAGTAAGAGATAACCTGCTTCATTTGCTCTACTTTGATATGGACACAATCAGATGGTAAAACCTTTTTACTATGTAGTTTATAAACTGCTTAATATCCAAGCCAAATGTCCATGTTCAGTATCACCCATGATTTTCTTATGGGTACAAAGCTATTAGCAACCCCTTTTACACTACCCAGTAATTGGGTCCATTGTTAATGATGAAAAGCTGATTAAAGTAACTATGGTGAATGAATGGGATTCTTGCAGAATTACAAACATAAATATGTGTATAGGGATATTTCCTATCCTAAGATGAATCGTGGCTTTTTGCAACAACATCCTGTCTTGGAATAAACATTTATACACACAGATGAACAGTACATGCACACGGACATACACATATGAACGCATCCACTCATGCACTCACACATATGATATTATGTGCTGGTTACTCTTACTCCCAGCCCGTTTGCTTAGTCTGGTGACAGACCAAGAACAACATCTCTGTCCTCTCAGCGGTGACAGGAACTATTTGGGTGTGAAGAACTGGGGGTGTGATTTCCCTTTCGTTCATTGAGAATCTTGGCAGACCAGTGGAACAGTCTTAATTAGTACCTCTTGGATAACTTCAAGAGAAAGGAGTGCACATGTATGTTTTGCATGTGTGCTGCAGTGCATATTAACTGAGCGTCTCTCTTATAGAAGTCTGAATATGCTGCACTTCTTTGTAACAAAAGTGAAGCCAAAGCAGGCTTTCTAGTGTAGTCCAATAGAAACTTGCAGGCAGGTAGCAATCATTCTCCAAATTAATAAATGTGGCTTTGAGGAAAGGTATTAGAATACATTGTCTTTCCATGCATATTCAACTTAATTTGATGAATACCACAATGCATATGGTTTCTTTTCCACTAAACAAAGCAAAGAAAACCACATCTGTCCATTTATCCATTTTCTCAACTGTTTATCCAGGTCAGGGTCACAACTGGGGGCTGAAGCCCATCTAAGCTGTAATTGGGTGAAAGGCAAAACTCATACAAGCCTATGCTTTATGATTTAGACTTGGATTTGTATTTGATGTCCAAACAGCATAGTGTTATTTACCTTGTTGTTCCAGTTAATGAGTGGGAGTTAACAATTACAATAACCTAAATAATGGGTAGTAATTCTTTAACTAATTATAAGCAATAAAACATTCAAAACATTTTTTCCTAACACCAGTGAAGTGGGTGACAGAATTAGCACCTCAGAGTCTGAGGTGGGTAGAGTGGATACTCTGGGTGAGGATCCCAATCACCAGGATTGGTCTAGTATACACTCTCAGTACCTCCTTGGTAAGATGCTTTGGGTGGAGACCCTGCCCGGCCTGCCTGCATGGGAAAGCCCCCAAAGAACTTTAGTGGTGGAGAGTAGTGAGGTCTTGGCAGCTTTGCCTAGCATGCCTAGCTGGATCCATATGAGTGGTAGCAAAATGGATGGATGCCGATGACATCCTCCTGGTTGTCACAGAAAAAAAGTGAGGTACTCTCCTACAAGAATACTATATTTTTATACACATTACTTCATAGATTTGTACACAATTACTCGAAAAGAAATCATAATCGCTTGACCGCATCTCTGTCTTAATGGATCTTTTCCATTATACCAATGAGTATAACAGGCACTGAAAAAGATAGGGAGACAGAAAATATGCTCTGTATGATTGTCTTCTGGCCATTAGTGGCTGCTGAGTCACGTTTCCAATCGATGAAGCAACCCCAGATTAACCCAAGTGTGTAATGGTGTCTATGGATCAGCATTACATCTGCCATGTCGCAGGTTCTATGAAAGTTGTCTGACTCAGAAGCAAAAGCACAATAAGACAAAAGACCAAAGGGAAAAAAAACAAGCTGCTCAGTCTTCCTTTCCCTTTAATTATTAAATACTCTGGACATTTAAAACCTGACTTGAAGATACTCAGGACTCACACTTAAGATGTGCTTATTATTTGGTTTAAGTGTATCAAAAGGATAATTAAAAGTTCTCCTGTTCACTGGCCAAATGACGTCTTGAACTTTGTGCTTTCAAGACTCGCCAAACTCCATTACTGTCTGCAGTGCGCAGACATTTTAAGAATGTACCTCATTTTAAACTGACTCTATGAGTGAAAAAGAAAGTCATTCACTTCCAAGTTCTTAGCAGCACCTTAAGTAGAGTTAAGACACGAAGGCTGAGTGCCAGTTTCACTTTTACAAATACTTTCGATTTGTTCCTCATCGGCATAGATTATTGGACCTTGATTTTCAGCCTTGCTACTAATGAGAGTTAAACAAAACTCAGACGCTCTTTGGTCCTAAATTTGAAAGCGAAAACTATTCAGCTGTTGTACAGTTACAAGAGTGACAGACTTGGATTTCAATCTTCTCCCTCTCAGTTACTTTGATAGGAGTTCTTACATTTAATTTATTTTACTAACCAAATAACAGAAGCTCCCTAATTTTAACAGCATCTTGTATTCAAAATATACATGAACACTAAATGCAAGAGTGTAAATACTTTCAGGAAATGATAAGTGATTATTTAGTTCATTATTTAGTTCCTTATGACTGACTATGGTCAGTTATACATGTGCATAACTGAACACTGCTGTAAGTAGGACTACCACTGCAGACCAGGGATTTCACTGTGTTTAACAATCTTAACTGGATGACAGGGAAGTACATAAAATAAACCTTACTTTATTAAGAGAATTTAAAACTCTTGAACAATAAAACGGTATATTTATATTTTAACGGTTCTAAAGAAAATCACTCCTATAGGAGTCGGATCAATTTGGTGTTAATGGCAGGGACTGAAAAGAGCCAAAACACTCCATAGAAAAATGAATTCAGTAGAACTACTGGGGTGTATCAAGTTGCCTTATTAAACCATATTCTCAATTTCTTCAGCACTTTTGCATTGCGAATACTTTTAAGTCAAAAAGCGTATAAAAGATCTGGAGTTGGTTCCAAGTGCTTAACTTGCATTTGGTACCTAATTACTGTAATTCTCAATAAAAGGTTGACAACAATCCCAGTACATGCTTAAAATGAGTGAGTAAACTGACAAGCTCAGATACACCAAGAGACCCGAAAGACCACAGAAAACAAATAAAGTGCATGACTGCATTTGTTTCCTTGATTACAATACAACTTCTAACTAACTCAAGAACAATCAGTCTCACTGAAGTCTTTGTCTCACTAAATAGACTTTGTTGACTCGGTCACAAGTATTTATTGATAATCAGACTCCTGATAGAAGCAACAGGATGAAATGTGAAGTGTGCAGGGCTATACTATCTCCTCTGATTCAATCAGATGGTGCAATACTGATCGGGCACAGTGCAAATGGAAAATAACCCAAAACATACTGCAAAAGCAACCCAAAGGTTTCTCAAGGCAAAGAAATGGGATATTCTTCAATGGCCAAGTCAGTCACTTGATCTCAAGTAGAAATGTTGCCTTTCAATCACATCCACGTTGACTTAAAAATCAATTTTGGAGGCAAAATTTTGAAAAATTGTCCAAAAGTGGACCCAACTATCATAAAATCTGGAAGCTAAACAATGACATTGAAATGAATAAAAATGACGTAAACACTGATTGATACGTTAATCAAAACATAAGACACCTTTAGGCATTCCTAACAATAACAACCATGTGCGCTATAAGTAGGGCTGGACTTTGTTCAGTCATAGCCATGACACAACATGGTAAATGGACTATTTCTTATAGAGAGCTTTTCTACTCTGAGCACTCAAAGCGCTTTACGCAAATTGCCTCATTCACCCAGTCACACCAGCACTGATGCAATGATTTTCAAAATTATTTGGCTGTTCAAAATGGACATTCTAGGATATATCTTTTGTGTTTGTTGAAGTAAATCTATAACCTAAGTTGTAAAGGCATCTTGTGTTTCGAGTCCATCCCACTTGTCTACAAATTAATTTTCGGCATGCATGTGAAAGTGTGTAAAGGGGGACAAGCACCAAAAACTAGGTTCAATGGTCCCTTAAGGATTGGAGCTGGGTCGTGCCATTTTTGTAATTGAGCAATTTTAAATTAATTTAGCAAATGTAGACAAGCCCAATAATTAGTCATG